TGCCAGGCAGCTGACATCCCTGGAGGGTGGGAACCGGATATTCTGCATATGACCACATCTGACACCAAAGCCCACCCATTTTGCCTCCTAGTTCCTTTCTAGACACTCTCTTTCATTTGTAATGTGTTTATAATCAACTTCAAACTTCCGTCAGGGTATGTCCACATGTAGCTGTGTGTTGACTCCAGAACCTGGTTCCAGTTTTTTTTTATTGGATTTTGTTTTTCTAAAAATGGAGAAAAAGAATTATAAGTGACACAGGAAGATTTTCTTATCCTAAGTGAGCATGAGAAGCCATAAGGAAATAATCCCAGTAGCACCCAGAATTGGGAATAGGGCCACACCTAGTTGAGATCACGCCTCAGGGCTTTGGTGAAAAGACACTAAAGTGGCTAGTCTAAGTGCTTGAAAGAGGCTCAGGGCCCCTGGGAGCTGTCCAAGTGTAAAGTATGGCTGGCTCAGCCTCTCCCTCCCCTTAGGGTTTGGAAGCCTATTCCCTCCCTGACTACTCTCAGAGTTTATATTTAGCTGAAGTTAGCAAATGTGTTCAGGGGACTGGCAGTCCATAATCTTTCTGGGTCTTAGCATCTTCCTTAGTGAAAGGGGGAAGAATGTGTCATCCCAGGAGGACCTGAGTTACAGGACCATGAGAAGAGGATTGAGGGTGGCTTCCCTCCCCCTTCCCACATGGGGAAATAGTTCTCACAACTGTGACCTCCACATACCCTTACACACACTGCCAAGGTCAAGAGTACCTGGTTTGAGTTGGGAGGTAGCTGAGCAATATAGGGCTTTTGCTCGAAACCACTGGATTTGCTAACTTTAGAGAAGCTATAACACCTGCTCAGGCAGGTAAACCACCTTGAGACAAAATCTACAGGGAAAAATCATGAAAACAATAATATGCAACACAAGTCAATCTTTATTCAAAACTGCAGTGTTAATACATAGCTCTTGTTACAAATGTGTTTTTAATAATTTTAAATCTAAGCTCATCTACTTATCAGATTGCATAAAAAATTAAAACAGTATGAATTTATAGACATAGAACTAGATCAGGATGGGTATTCCATTCTTTTGTACTGACTGACACCTAAGTTCAGTAAGGGATGCCTTTCACACTGGAAGCCAATGCTGACATATGTTTAAAAATGTACCAAGAAAACAGTCTAAAAAACAGTATTTAGAAATGATTTTTAAAAAAATTTAAAGGAACCTTTTCCTGGTCAGTCACAACTTATGTGGCTCCTTGGTGCTTCCATTCAAGTGGCTGTCAGAACAATCCTGCAGGGAGCACAAGAGTGCTGGCCTCAGATCTAGTCTGACTATTCACTCATCTACACAAGGACATGGGGAGTCTCCAACAGGGCTCAGGAGGCAGAGATGAGCTGCCTGACATCTCAACATACAAATCTTGGAGAATACCATTTCCCATAGTTAATTCGGGTTCCCTGGATAGAGATGTCTACATCTCCTCTGTCCTTGTCCCAAGTGAATTGACTTTAGTCCTGGGGACTTTTACAAAGTGACTAGAGGCCCAATGCATGAAATTCATGCACAGGAGGGTGGGGGGTGTCCCTCAGCCCAGCCTGCACTGTCTCCAGTCTGGGACCCTTGAGGAATGTCCAACTGCCCGTTTAGGTAGGATCCCGATAGGATCGAGCCTAAATAGGCAGTCAGACATCCCTCTCACAATCCAGGATGCTGGCTCCCAGCGTTTGCCTGCCTGCCTTCCTGACTGCCCCTAAATGTTTCTGCCTGCCAGCCTGATCACCACCTAACCACTGCCATGCCAGCCTGATTGATGTCTAACTGCTCCCCTGCTAGCCTGATTGCCCCTAACTGCCCTCCCCTGCCAGCCTGGTCACCCCTAACTGCCCTTCCCTGCAGGCCTGGTCCTCCCCCCCCCCCCCCCAATGTCCTCCCCTGTAGGCCTGGTAACCCCCAACTGCTCTCCCCTGCAGGCCTGGGTCCCCCCAACAGCCCTTTCCTGCAGGCCCAGTCACCCCCAACTTCCCTCCTCTGACCCCTAACTGCCCTCCCTGCAGGCTTGATTGTCCCCAACTGCCCTCCCTTGTAGGCCTGGTCCCTTCCAACTGCCCTTCCCTGATGGCCTGATTGCTCACAACTGTCCTCCCTTGAAGGCCTGGTTCTTCCCAACTGCCCTCCCCTGCTGGCCATCTTGTGGTGGCCATCTTGTGTTCATATGGGGGCAGCCATCTTGTGTGTTGGAGTGATAGTCAATTTGCATATTACTCTTTTATTAGATAGGATACAGGCCTGGTGCATGGGTGGGGGCCAGTTGGTTTGTCCTGAAGGGGTGTCCATCAGGATGGGAGTTCCCTTGGGGCATGGGGCAGCATGGGTGAGGGGTTGTAATGGTTTTCAGGCCTGCTATACCCACCCATCGACCCAAGCAGAGGCCTGGTATCTGGGATTTATTTATTGTCTACAATTGAAACTTTGTAGCCTTAAGCAGAGGCCAGGACAGGCCAGGGCTGCAGGAAGCTTGGCTTACTCCATTGCTGGGGGCAACTCAAGCTTCCTGTTCTCTCCAGCTCTGTGGCCACTGCCATATTTGTTGGGTTAATTTGAATACTCACTCCTGATTGGCTTGTGGGTGTAGCAGAGGTACAGTTAATTTGCATGTTTCTCTTTTATTAGATAGGATGACACCACAGGTTTTCTGTTCAAGTGAATAGAGTGGATAAAAAAATAAATTCTCTGAAACATCTAAGATCAACTTACAACTTTCTAACTGAAAAGATCAGACCCTCCTCTGAAGCATGTCATCTGCAGTCTGCTCAAGACAGATGGTTACACACACACACTTGAAATTTGCCAGAGAGGAAAGCTAAACAGCCTGCCCTTCTCTAAGCTAGCCACACTCCTCTTTACAGATTATCCCCATTCCATAGAAAGCACAAGAGAAGGGTCAGAAGTTGCCTCCCACCTCAAGCTATGCATCCTTAAACCACCCTTGCAACCAATGGAGGGTGTCAGACAGGTGTCTTGTCCTATATGGGCAATGCTCAGGCTAGCAATGACTGAGGCGCACAGCTGCCAGATGGAGAGAAGGTGGCCTAACTGGTCCAAGTATTGCTGTTTCCGAAGGACAGGAGAAATTTGGGCTCCTTTTTAAAGCAGGGTCCACTATTGAAGTGGCCTGTGTTTACTATCCTTCCACAATCAATCACTGGCAGGTACACTCATGGAAACCCACATAAAGGAACAACATTGCCAGATATTTGCACATCCAAAGTGCCTTAAGGATATATTTCCTCTCATTTCTAAAGTTATGATGCTACCAGAGAGAGCCAGGCATTGTCTGCCCAGCTTGGGAAGGACAGGATGCTTAATAACCAGGTGCCCATCCCAAGCCTTAGGATCTTCCTCAATCTCCTGTAAATGCTATGTTTGCTTTGTACACAAGGAAGTCACAGAATAGCAATTGGTAGGCCTAATAACCACACAAACAAGAAGGCACTGAAAAGATTTAACATAAGAAACATAAAAGGTTCTAGAAGTACCTATGTGTCTGTTTACCAGGCCCTGGCCCTGATGTTATCCTTCCTTCTCGGAGGCAGCAAGTTAATAGGATCATGGCTTGCTCATCACTAAACACTCAGTTATCCAGTCTAGAGCATTCCCATAAGCAGAGAAACGAACCCCCTAAACTTTAGGAAAAAGGCTGTAAAAACAAAACAAATTAAATATCCATGATAATGTCCATGTTAATAGGAATTAGGATCTTTTGCTTGTCTGTCTCAATTTCTAAAAGAACTATAATGCAGTGAAAAGGCTCTCAAATTAGGAAGCAAAATTTCTTTAAATGTTCCACTGTTGTGCTTTGAATATCAAATTATACAAGTTTATAATAATTATACAAGTTTATAATTCCTTAATTAATTTTACTAGGAAGAATTTGAAACTCTACTAAAATTACAACCTATAATACTTTTACTATCTGTAAGTCCAGATTCATACATACTAGACAAGGTCTACCTCTCACCATCATATTTGATAGCTGATGCCCTGATAGTTTCAACTGAAAAGACATATTTCGTAACACAGTACTATCTGATAAAGTCTCTCAGCTCAACTTGACAAAAGGGAAAAGATTTAAAAAGAAAATTAGGAGGAAAATGTCATGATACTGATATAAATAGGGGGAAATGCAACCCATTCTGCTTTCTCTTAAAAACACCATTTAATTTAGTGCTCATGAAAACACTTACCCTAAGTCTCAAGCAAACCTGAAGAAATATCCTTATATAACTTCGAATAGATTCCCCTTGATTTCAAATTACTCCATCCCTAGGTAGACTGTGTGTGTGTGTGTGTGTGTGTGTATTCTCATTTTTGGGGGGGGGGAGGGGCATTTTAAAAGCATACTCTAAAAATTACATTTTCTTATATCAACTACTTTAACTTGAGGAAACTGAGGTTTCTGTTACTTGTCCCTGGAATCTGTTGATATTGCAAACCATCTACTATACAGATGGAATTACAACACAAAGTTTAAGAAGTGTGCACAAACTGTATACACACACATTGGTTAAGTGCTTATGAAGCAATTTAAAGTTCTTTTTAGTAAACACACTATGTTAACAGGTATTAGGAATAAGGAATTTTTTTCTTTACATGATCCATGCAAAAATATTCCTAAACTTACTATAAAATATGATGTGAGAAAAAAATTACAAAGAATACTTATTATAAAAAATTAGGTTACCAAAGGCTTCCATTCACCAATCTGGTTGAAAGCCTAACCAGAGTTAGAGCCCTGACTTTGTCACCAGAGACATAAGAAGAATAGAATCCCCTCCCCCAACAAAAGCACAGAGCACTTGAAACAATGATAGGATAGAACAGAGGCATACTTCCCCCACCTGCCTAACAAGCTGCTGAGATGAGACAAACCCTCTCCTCACACTCCCTGTGACTCTATCTAAGAACAGACTCACGCCCATCAATATAAGTTGAACCCATGTAGGCAAAAAAAGAAAAAATTCCTCAATTTCTTATATACAATATTCATATTATAAACACATTATCCATTCCGTAATAATCCCTGGCAGACAAATGCATTTTGTGCTGCCTAACCCTTTGTTGTCCATACCTGCTTTGTGCTGAGCGCTGTCAGTTGCCAGAAGAGATGGCAAAAGAGGCTCACAGATAATGGAATTAGACCTCCCCATACCCGACTCCAGATGGTCTCAGAGGACTAAGTCTCCATCAAATGGATAGGCCTAAACATATGGCAGCCCCATCTCTCTACAACAAGTAATCAATTTCAAATAAAGTTTTGTTCCCTTTTTAATAGTTTTTAAATACACAACTTTCTTCAGAACACACAGCTAAAATCTTACTCTTCTTTGTGTGGGAAAGAACAGCAATGCCTCCATATATTTTTGGCTAATTCAAATATTTCTCAGCAAAGAAAAAAAGAGAAATGATTTTCTAAACTAAATAAAGAAGAGAACAATACCTCATCCAGATTTTTTCTGTTTATTTCATGTATCGTCCATCCTAGGAAAATAACTTAATTCTACATAGGGCTTTTCCAATACAGATATAGAAAGCAGCATCTCTATATGTAAAGAGCTTTGTAATGGTAATTTACATAGCAATCCAGAGAAAACTGCTTTTCTGATAGACAAACTGCTATCTGCCCCTAAATGTACTGGCCATACAACTCTAGTCTTTCATGATAATCTTTTAAGAATGTCCGTATCAAACTGACCCCACAAGCCTAAATGAAAAGATAGTGATGCCCATTAACCTTGCTACCCCAGGTAGCTGTGGACCACCCTATACTCTCTCGGTCCCTACAATTCTCTCCCAGTGCAATAAGTATGAAATAAACACATGGATAAAAACTAAAATTTCTTGTTTCCAACTGGCAACCTACATCAACCCCAAAGGTTGAAAAATCACTTAAGAGATTTCAGATGCTCTATGAAGAACTTCACTTTAATACTTACATCTTTAAGACTCTGCATACATTACAACATTGCATTAGTGATACAAGTTATAAAATACTTTCCATTCCCTTGGATTTTGCATATAATGGCTTTGCATCAGTCACTGCAGGTAGTCTGAGCAAGGTGTTTTTTTTTGTGTTTGTGTGTTTGCTTTTTAAACATGCATTCAACTAGATATAATTTCAGAATACATTAATACTCCCTTTTCATCATTACAGTTAGCTAAAAAAAAAATTGCCAGACAGCCCTAAAACAGGAATTGCTTTAAGACCAACCCATAGTTAGTTGGAGATTAATGATGCTGAGATCTGCAAGGATGGGCAGTAGTAGTATTTAGCTAATTGTAGAAAGAATTAAGAAGAAAGTCCTGGTTGAGGCATGAGGCCTGCAGTACCAGCTGTAGAATATCCAGGATGTGACTGTACAGCTCCATCCTCAAACCTGGGCAGGAAAGAGAAAGACACACAATCACAGAGCTCCTTTGGCATTGCTGCTATGAAAAGGAGGTATTTCAATTAGAGGAGGATGAAATCCAAAAAGGGCAGCAGAAGGAAAATGTTCCTGATATCCATGGACCTCACAGAGGTTTCCAATTATAACTGGAATACTACTTATTTTGAAGGAGGCGGGTACAAGGAACAGCAAGTACTAAATGGTTTCCTTCTTTCTTCTACTTTGAACAGTCCCAATATGAGCAAAAATTTAAACACTTGGATGAACAGTCAGGTAGCATTTTTCTCATTAATGCTTAAATTATGAAAGATTTGCCATTTTCCACTGGGGTAGGGGAAATGCACTTTAGACAAGAGCCAAACTAGGCTCCAGTCACTTACATTTGCAGGTGATCACCACTGAGGGGGCACATAGCTGTAGGTGGGCATTCCTGGACCCCGATACGTGGGCACAGTGATTGGATGGGGGGCGACAGGAGTTGGGGAGTGGGCAGTCAGCAGGGTACCTGCAAGAAAGAGGAGTGTATGGCAAGTAGCTGCCTCTGACAAGGAAGGAGGTAAGGAAGAGGGAAAGGGCCTTGGACCTTGACTGCTGTCAGAACTCTGATTATATAAGAACTACTCAAAGATATACAAACACAGAAAGCTCATAATGGTAATACATTTGTGAAAACCTTTATGTCTTCCCATCATATAAGCATACTTAATTATTTTTGTGGATTAGATGATAAGAGACAAAATAAAAATATTCAGCCTTAAAAGGGAAGAAATTTGTCACGTTATAATACAACTCACGTGAACCTTGAGAACATTATGCTAGGTGAAAAAAAACAGTTACAAAAAGACAAGTACTGTAGAATCCCACTTATCTGAAGTCCCTAGAGTAGTCACTGATAAAGGCAAAAAACAGAATGGCGATGTCAGGGGTTGGCAGGTAGGGAGAAAGAAAAGTTGTTTAGTGGGAATAGCACTTCAGTTTTGCAAGTCTGGAGATGTTTTACAAGAGTGTAAATATACTTAACACTATTGAACTGTACCCTTAAAAATTACTATATGAAACAAAAAATGGAAGAGAGGGATTGAGGAAGATTCCAAACCATATAAACTTCAGAGTGCATTAAGCTAAATGTATTTTTCCCTAACCTGAAAAAAAGGCAGTGATTATCTGAGTCCATTTGCAGACAAGCACTACCTCAAAAATAACAGCCTTCACTCTTTTCACTCTCCTGTCTCCTTACCCACACTCATCCCAGACCTGTCTTCCCTTCCCCCTACCTGTCGAAAACATGTACTTTCTGTCTATACATGACTGAAAGTATAATCTCTTTTGCCTTCAAAGATAAGTATAGGAAAACAAAATAAAATAGAGACTAAGAAGAAACTTCTTTCTCTCTGGCATGATTTTCTTACATTGAAATAAAGTAGAAAACATAGAGGGAACAATATTTTTTTAAAAAAAATCCCAGCCCTGGCCAACCAAGTGCATCGTGTGTACCTGGCCTCTGCCACAAAGGTACCAGGGCTCCAGGCAGATGTACCAGGGTTTGCATCTCTCAGTACCAGGGTTTGCATCTCTCAGTGGTTTATTTTCCTTGGGAAATAAAATCAATGAATGCCAAAGGATTTCTACAAGTAGCTGTGATGTCTATTAACACAGGACTAGCTTTCCTAGACAGACAATTTGGAACCCATACTAAAGAAACACTGCAAAGGAACCCATACTAAAAGGGGTTACACGAGGTCCAATACCCCAGAATACAAAGTTGCTCTTCTGCTTTACAAAGGAGATCTGCTCACAGAGGATATCTGGTTACTCCTAGTTACTACTGTCAACAAAGTAGCCTTCTGAAATTCAGAAAGTGATATTCAGTCATACTCTACCAGGAGGGTACTTAGTTCATGATTTATTACTCTAATCCCCACTCCTGTCTTGTCTCAACTGAAAAGAGAAGCAGGGGGGGGGGAGGAAAGAAAAATATAATATGCTATTCCTTCCCTAAAGAATATATCCTTCTATGCAATTCTAGACATGAAATATTAAGGCCAGGGGTCAAAATATTAGTGAGCTCTCACTTCCCAGCTCTCACGACACCATAGAACAGGAAATCTAGAGTTGACTCACCTGCTGACATGGCCATAGTGGTCCCAGCCACCATACCCATGGTGACCCCGTTGCCTCTCGGAGGAATGATGGGAGCAGTGTACACTGTCGTCGGCATACCGTTGGGCTGCACCACTGTGGTGTGGTGGATGACGTGAGGGGGTGCTGCATACAGGTGCTGTGTGTAGAATGTACCTTGCTGTGGGGAGGAAGAAAGACAACTGCAACAGAACTCTACACCCAGTGGGTAAGACCCCAGATGGGATCTACATAAGCCCAAGAATAGTATCAAAAGCCTCACAGTGCACCCAAAGCCTACCTGTGCATATGGGCTTTGCTGGGGGTAGACACTTCGCACAGGGTATATAGCAGTCTGGTATGAGTTGGGGGAGGAGGAATATGGTGGTACTGCCCCACTGGTGGGGGAACAGGACACTTTGTAAGGTGTGCCAGGAGTGTAACCTGAAACAAAGAAGCTCAATGAACTTTTCAGAAATCCACATTTGCCAGCCAAGGGAAGGAACCAAGTATACAGTGAGAAGCAAATCAGTTTTCCAGCCCTGACCATACTAGATATGACACCAGTGTGGCCCATATGAGCTCCACTAAGATCTGACTTCGTTACTTACTGTATAAGAACATGTGTGTAGGGTGGGAGTCACTTGGGAAGAGGAATAAAGACAAAAGGAAAAAGTTATACTGAAAGTACATTCAGCCTGGTCCTCATGGCTCAGTGGTTGAGCATCTACTTATGAACCAGGAGGTCATGGTTCGATTCTTGGTCAAGGCATATGCCCAGGTTGTGGGCTCAATCTCTGGAATGGGGTGTGCAGGAGGTGATCAATCAATGATTCTTTCTCATCATTGATGTTTCTGTCTCTCCCTGTCCCTTCCTCTCTGAAATAAAATAATGATTTTTTTTTAAAGTACACTCATATAGAAAAAGGGAAAAAATACCTATCCTGATGGAATATAAATTGGTACAGCCTTCTTGGGACATACTATGGCATTAGTTCCATAATTTCACTTATAAAATTTTGTTTTAGAGAAATAAGCATGAGCTACCAGTCGAGTTTACCAGTTTAGTAAACTCAGTACTAAAACCTCCCACCATTACATCAGAATTACAACTTAACTACAGAACTATTACTCAGAACACCTGAAATCTAGCTGAACAGATAGGTGTCCTATAACTAAGGACATAAAGAAGAAGCTACATCAGACTGATATGAGGGATGAAGATGCTGAATGGGCTGGTCCCACAACCACATGAAGCAGTTACTAGGTGTACCAGTTAATTACGGCAGATTTTGTAATCAAAGAAAACACAATAATTTCAGAAACATCAAAAGTGCTTTATTCAAAGTAATGTCCATTTCCCCCATCTTTCAGGTAATTTGTGTATACTGTCCCAATAGAACTTTTCTTGTTTTGAGGCAATCCATTCCGAGACCCAATTTTCCACTTCTTCGTACATTTTGAAGTGCTGCTCAGAAAGTGTGTGTGCCATCAATCGGAACAAGTGGTAATCTGAAGGAGCAAGGTCTGGTGAATACAGCAGGTGGGTTAATACTTCCCAGGTAAGATCTTTTAATGTATCTGTAACTGGTTTTGAAGTGTGTGATGGTGTATTATCTTGAAGCAAAATTACTTTGCTGTATCTTCTGGACCATTCTGGTTGTTTCACGATCAAAACGTGGTTCAACTTGATTATTTGTTGTCAGTAGCAATCAGTATTAACAGTTCCACCTGGTTTTAGAAGCCCATAATACACCACACCTTCCTGATCCTACCAAATGCAGAGCATTGTCTTCTTTCCAAAGCGATTTGGCCTTGCAGTTGATATTGATGGTTGACCTGGATCAACCCATGATTTTTTGCATTTGGGATTCTCAAAATAGATCCATTTTTCATCACCAGTCACAATTTGATGCAAAAAAGACTTTCTTTCATGTCGTTGGATCAACATTTTACTGATGACTTTTCAGTTTTCCATTTGTGTTTTGTTCAGTTGATGTGACACCCCTTTTCCTTCCTTTAAAATCTTTCCCATTGTTTGTAAACAATTGGAAATTGTTTGCTGAGCAACATTTAATCTTTCTGCAAGTTGTTTTTGAGTTTGTTACACATCTTTATCGAATAATACTTGGTCTTCAAACTTTTTTGGTTGACCTGGACGTTCTTTGTCTTTTACATCAAAATTATCACTTTTAAAGCATTTTAAGATGGAGCATGTTCACCATAAGCTTCCTAAAGTATAAGGTAACTTTTTCTTCAAAATAAAGAATTAAAACTTTCTGCAAAAGTTATTTTTTGGCACAGAATTCGACATTTTTAAGTATAAAAATATATATGATGCTAACACCTTCAACAAATTTGATACATGAAGTTTTTTTTTCTTTTCTTTATTGATTAAGGTATTACATGTGTGTCCTTATCCCCCCCCCCAAACACATAAAGTTTTGAAGCTTGCTGTCAAAACAACAAAATAGCATACATATAAATTCACATATATATATCACCATTTGTGTAACTCCATCTATTGAAAAAAAAATCTGCATTATTAACTGGTACACATAGCAAAAATCGGGAAGAATATCTCAATTGTGGAGCAAGGAGTCCTAGTGGCAGGAGAAATACCCATAAATTTTTTAAAAAATAAATATTTTATTGATTTTTTACAGAGAGGGAGAGAGAGGGATAGAGAGTTAGAAACATCGATGAGAGAGAATCATCAATCATCTGCCTCTTGTACACCCCCTACTGGGGATGTGCCCGCAACCAAGGTACATGCCCTTGATCGGAATTGAACCTGGGACCTTTCAGTCCACAGGCCGATGCTCTATCCACTGAGCCAAACCGGTTTTGGCAAAAGGAGTTCCCATAATTTTTAACTGTGAAAACCTGCAAGGGTTATAGCTGAGTGAGACAAAGGGCTCTTGAAGTCCCAGATGTTCCTCTTAAAAAGCCTATGCAGGAACTTACTTGAGCTCCAGCACTGGGACAGAAGCTCAAAAAATGCCAGGGATAAGTGGGAAAGAACTCAATTATTTGGCATTAGGGCAAGAGTTGGAGGGGCAGCTTTCTCCATAGACAGAAGTACTAGCAGAAGCCATTGTTTCTTTGCTGAGCACTCCCACACAGCCCAGAAGAGGCCGCAATATCTGAATCTCCATCAATCTGGTGATTCCCTGCAACCCTGTCCCACCCAACTTGCTGGACCACCCAAACCCTTTCCAGTGGCTTTTCCTAATAACTGCCTGTCTTAGCTCATGTTGCAGATTTTCCTAAAATCTCTCAAACAACCACCATCTAACTTCTGTGTACCCCATACCTCTTCTAAGTGGCCCCAGACCTGATATTAACAGCAGCCTAACTTGGTTTGCAGCTTGGTCTATCTTGTGCAACTCCAAGGCCAGCACAAGTAGCAACCATCTAAAGATTGCTTTGTAGCTCATGCCAGGTGGCCCTGGGGAGAGCACAAGCAGCAGTTGATCTTGGACTACAACTATTAGGAAGCCCAAGAACCAGTGCACCAGGTGGACATCTTCAGACCACATCAAAACACCATTAAACCACCTACATAAGAGACACACTCAAGAGGTGGACTCAGAAGGTACCTAAGCCCCAATGAAGTGAGTTCTGCTCCACGGGGTAGGCCCTTGCACAACATATCCTCTAGTGGTCCCAGCCAGTACTCACACCTGATCAAGGGGGTGCACACAACCCACACAAGGAGTACTATCTGGAGTGCCCAGCTCAGGTTACTGCGGAGACTGAGCCACTGTGTCCTAAAAGACACCTGCTACATAAGACCATTCTACCAAGACTAGAAGACATAGTGGCTCTACTTCACATGTAGAAACAAAAACAGGAAAGTAGCCAAAACAACGACACAAATGAAACATGTTCCAAATAAAAGAACAGAAAAACATTTCAGAAAAAGAGCTAAACAGAATTAAAATGAGTCATCTACCAGAAGCAAAGCTCAATACACTGGTTGTAAGAATACTCACTGAACTTAGGGAAAATGTAGAAAAACTCAGCAAGAGCTTCAATAAATAGATAGGCAACGTAAAAATGGAGATAGAAAACACAAGAAAGATCCAGTTATAAATGAAGAATACATTAACTTAAATGAAGAATCATTGTAAGAATCAAATTAGTGACTTGAAAGGTAAGAAAGCAGAAAACACCCCTCAGGACAGTAAAAAGAAAAAAAAAATGAAGATATTATAAGAATCCTCTGGGACAACTTCAAGCTTACCAACATTCATATCATGCCAACACGAAGAAGAAGAAGGAAGAAAGAAGAAAGAAGAAGAGTAAGAGGAAGAGGAAGAGGAGGAGGAGGAGGAAGAGGAGGAAGAGGAAGAAGAAGAGGAAGAAGAGGAAGAAGAGGAAGAAGAAGAGGAAGAAGAGGAGGAAGAGGAGGAAGAAGAGGAGGAGGAAGAGGAGGAAGAGGAAGAAGAAGAGGAAGAAGAAGAAGAGGAGGAAGAAGAGGAAGAAGAGGAAGAGGAGGAAGAAGAAGAGGAAGAAGAGGAAGAAGAAGAAGAAGGAGGAGGAGGAGGAGGAGGAGGAGGAGGAGGAGGAAGAGGAGAAGGAGGAGGAGGAGGAGGAGGAGGAAGAGGAGGAGGAGGAGGAGCAAGAAACTGAAAACCTGTTTGAAAAAATAATGATGCGCCCTAGCTGGTTTGCTCAGAGATTAGAGCATCAGCCCATGGACTGAAGGGTCCCAGGTTCAATTCTGGTCAAGGGCATATACCTCAGTTGCAGGCTTGATCCCTGGCCCCATTTGGAGCATGTGTAGGAGGCAAGCAATCAATGTGTCTCTCTTACATTGATGTTTCTCTCTGAGTGAAATAAGTCAGACAGAGAAAGACAAATGCCAGATGATTTTGTCTCTCCCCCTCCCTTACACTCTCTCTAAAAATAAATGAAAAAAGTATCCTTGGGTGAGGATTAACAAACAAAAAATAATGTTACAAAACTTTCCTAATCTGGTAAAGGGAAATAGATATAAAAGTCCAGGAAGCACAGAGTTCCAAACAAGATGAACCCAAAGAGGCAAACACCAAGGCACATTATAATTAAAATGCCAAAGGTTAAAGAGAGAATATTAAAAGTAGCAAGAGAAAAACAGTTATCTACAAGGGAGCTTCCATAAGACTGTGAGCTGATTTCTCATTAGAAACTTTGCAGGCCAGAAAGGGTTGGCACAAAATATTCAAAGAGATTAAAAGCACGGACTCAAACAAAATTACTCTACCCAGCAAAACTCCATTTAGAATCAAAGGGTAGATAAAGAGCTTCTCAGAAAAGAAAAAGCTAAACAGTTCATCACCTCCTAACTAACATTACAAAAAATGTTAAAAAGTCTTCAATAAAAATTTTAAAAAGATAGAAAATATGAATAAAATGGCAATAAATACATATCTATCAACAATTATTTTAAATGCAAA